TTGCCAGTGTGGCAGTGTGGGAAGCAGCAAAGGCCTTGGCTCTGTGTGAGCTCTGCTCAGCAACAACAAAAACATCTCTGCATTATCAACCCTGTGTTCTGCTCAAATTCTAAACATAGCCCCATACTAGCCACTGTGAAGGAAATTAACTCTACTTCAGCCCAAAACAGCAAATTCCATATCATTTACATCATGCCCAGGTCCCACACTATTCAATACGACTTCATTAACCACCACTCCTGTTTACATTCTTTGGTATAATACACAGATTTTGTTCCCTTAGTCTGTGGACCACCCCTGCAAAACATCTATACTATGTCCACAAAATATCTGCTGAATTCATCTAGCCCATGGCTTTGGGCTCCATCTGTTCTGGTGGTCACTCAGGATGGGAGAGGTGATGTGTTGCTTGGAGTTACTGGGCACCAAATCCAGCTCAGGTCAGGTGCTGCACCTGCACTGCTTCTGGTCAGGCTTCTCCTCCATTAGTTCAGGTGGTTCCTGCTGTAGTAATTCCTGTATCAAATCATGGGTTAAACAATTTAAAGGCACATCCATTACAATCTCCACCCCTGGTCTTTTTGGGCCAGGTCATCTGGTTTAACATTAATTGTTCCCAGGCTGGTTAGCAACAAGTTCCTGCTTGAGTCCCCCATCAGTATAGTCCACATCATAGTCCTCCATGGGCTGCAGGGGGACAGCCTGCTTCACATGGACTTCACCTCCCATCTTTGATTCCCCTGCTCCAGCGTGGGGTCCCACCCACAGGAGACAGTCAGACAGTCCTCCTTGAACTCTTCCAATGTGGGTCCTTCCCACGGGCTGCAGTTCTTCACAAACTGCTCCAGCATTGGTCCCCCGTGAGGTCACAAGTCCTGCAAACCTGCTCCAGCACAGGCATCTCATGGGTCACATCATCCTTCAGGCATCCACCTGCTCTGGTGTGGGATCCTCCTGCTTCATCATGGGCTCATCAGCAGGTCACAGTCCCTTCGATTCAAGCTCACGCTGCAGTTCCAGCCTGTCCAGTACAGCAGAACAGAAACAATAGCAATGCCCTGGCCCTCTGCCAGCCCAGGCACATCCCCATGGCTGTTATCAAAGTGTTCCCAGGCACAGTACAGTAAGGTGATAAGCAATACAGCAAGCAGCAAAAGCAAAAAAACAGTGCCTAACAAGCATTAGACTATAATATACAGTCAGGAAAGCAAAAAGCAAGGCCCATGGCAAGCACAAGAGCCTGCTCATTACTAGCTAAACATCACTAACAGCTATAAATTCAATCTAGCACATCCCAATCCAATCTGTTATCTCAAACCCATGCCCCATGTTGGGTGCCAAAAAGGACTGTTGTGGTTTAACCCCAGCCAGCAGCCTTGAGCCACACAGCCACTCACACACTCCCCCACCAACAGGATGGGGGAGAGAATCAGAAGGGTAAAAGCTAGAAAAGCCCATGGGTTGAGATAAAGACAGTTCAATGATTGCAGTTTGAGCCTTCTCTGGTCTCTTGTTTGCTCTGTGAGGCAGCCACGCTGTGGAGGTGCTGCCCTGAAGCTGCAGCCTGTGCACTCCTGTGTGCTACAGTAGCAAAGCAAAGTGTATTTGCTCCAGCAAGCCTTGAGGCTGTTTGGGAGTGTCTGCTGTCATAACTGGGTTAAGCCAAGCATGTTCACATGCTCTGTTAGTACAGGTCAGGTGGTGATGAGAGTATTTTCTTGGGTGTTCTCTGTTTAGACCATCCCTTTCTTTGCTGCCTGCAGTACAGATGATTTGGGCAGGATATAACTGAGTCATTATAAAAGAAAGATACAGGAAAAGTACAGTGAATGCTGAAAATGCAGACTAGGATAATTTGACTCAGCAGTTTTCAGCTTGTACTGGTAAGAGACAATAGGAGAACCTTATCCACCTTTTATTAGTGCTGTCTGGGAGTCATGGGAGGAATAACAATTTTTCTGAGACAGTTATGTAAAGAGATGAAGAGGGGGCAGGGCTGAAGGTGTTGGGTATGCTCTGTTTGTGCTCCCTGTCACCTGTACAGTGGGTAAGCTGGGCAGAGCTGGAAGGATGCTATTCTGGGGCCATATGCAGGGCTGCTTTGTTCTCAGGGGTCCCAGCCTTGTTAGCTATTGGTCTGGAAGAGGACTGCCCTGCAGGGATAGGCACACAGGGACAGGCAGCACAAGGGAAAAGGGCCACTGATCTGAGGTCTGAAGAGCCAGCTCAGTAGCATGGAGTTTGAGGTCTCATTGCTGATGTGGCAAGGTGTGCAGTACTAGAGAAGTTAGAGTATAATAGAAGTGGGGCAAGCTGTGGAGCGTAAAATTCCAAGGAATTTTGGCATGGGGAGGAGTGGTGTGAAATACTGTGTTTGTTCTGTTGGTGCAAGTGTATGGCATGGAGACAGATGAACCTGTAGAGGGGGGTCAAACTACTACAGAAATGGAAATTGGTCTAAAGATTGCTTGATCTGTCTAGAGCAATCTCATGAGCTTTCTATAGGTACTGGTTGTGCCACCCATTAGAACAGCACAGTGATCAGTCTGTGGCTTTCAGGCTGCTGAAATGCAATTCCTGCCCCAAGGGGTGTGATCAGTGATAGTGCTGTGCAGGTATGAGAGATGCTGCATAATTCATAGACCTCAAGTTGTGGAAAGAAACAATGCAGTGAGGACTGCTAAGGCTGGCAGCCACCTGAGTTAGCTGCAGGCTGAACACTGGAGAAACAGGACCCTTGGGAGGACAAATCTACCTCTGCCAGTACAGAAGAAAACTTTTCTTGCTTTCAGCTTTACAAGGTTTATCATAAGTATCTCAGCTTCCAGTGAGCTGATGCACAGACAGTGCAGCTTGGCTTTTCCTGTTGTGGTTTAACTAAACCCAGCCAGCAGCTCAGTTCCACAGAGCCACTTGCTTGATCCCCTCAGTGGGATGGAGAAGAGAATCGGAAGATAAAAGTGAGAAAACCTGGTAGGGTTGAGATAAAAACAGTTTAACAGGGAAAGGAAAAGCCAGACAAGCAAAGCAAAACAAGGAATTAATTCCCTGTTCCCCATGGACAGGCAGGTGTTCAGCATCTCCAGAAGAGCAGGTTGGTCTGCATAACACACAAAGATGACTTGGGAAAACAAACACCATCACCCCAAGCATCATCTCCCTTTCCTCCTTCCCCCAGGTTTATATGCTGAGCATGATGTCATATGGGATGGATTATCCCTTGGGTCACCTAGAGTCAGCTGTCTCAGCTGTGTTCCCTCACAACTCCTTGTGCACCCCCAGACTCCTTGTTTTTGAGGTGGGGTGAGAAGCAGAAAAGGCCTTGACTGTGTGTGAGCACTGCTCAGCAGTAATGAAAACATCCCTGTGTTATCAACACTATTTCCAGCACAAATCCAAAACACGATGCCATGACAGCTACTGTTAAGAAAATGAACTCTATCCCAGCCAAAACCAGCACACCTATCACTCTTCTGTGCAGATACAAGGGATAACTGGGATTAGCTGAACAATGTTTCTTAAGATACATAGTATTGTTTGTCTCTAATTTTCCTGGGACTTTATTGAATATGCAGTATGATCTTAACATTTTCAGGTAATGTCTTACTTCTGGAAGGCAGAGAAAATTCAGAAAACCAAAAGCTGATGCTCATTGACTTTGAATACAGCAGCTATAATTACCGGTAAATCACTTTATTTTCCTATTCAGCAGG